AAAATGGTTGGAATTTGGACTTCAATGTTAGAGGCCAGAAAGGTGATTCTGGAACACTTACTCGAAGGTAAACGATAAAATCCTGGCATTGGAGGGATTTCTGCCCCTTTATCACGAGAGGGAAGACGAGATGTGACTGATGGTTTTCAAGGAAGAGCGTGCGTTTAATGGCTCCTTTTTGTTTCAGGGAATCTAACTGCACCTCGGCAGTCAGGCCTAAAGGACAGACATAAAGCAAATATAATCCAGAAAGGAAAAATATTCAGTGAATGTAGCGCTTTATCAGAGATACGAATTCCTATTTCAGCTTGCTTATTCAGGAAACATTTTTTCCATAGTTGGGATCAAAAACAATACACGAGCTGCAAAGATTTGATAAAATACTCCCCAAGCTTAAACAACTTGTTTTATAATGGTTTTACACACAAAGTCATTTCCCCCATAATTAGGTCTGTTCTTACAGACAGTACCAATTATTCAAGGACTGTTGATGTAGAAGTTCCCATATTTATAACAGAAATCTTGGTGCTGACGAAGAGCTCTTTGAAAGCTTTAAATGGTCTGTGCACCGCTTACTGTTGACTTTTCTTGATACGGTATAGGAGTGGAAAACTGAAAATATGCTCACCGATTGTGTTTGAAATGCTCTGGCCTGCCACAGATGCGCACACTCTTAAAGAAAAGCTAGGGGAAATAATAATCAATAATTTATTGGTTAATAAACTTTTGCAATCTGAAGTAGCAAACTTCCTTTACCTTACCCCAGATAAAACGAATGCTTTATTTTTCCTCTATACTTCTCTTAGTGTACACACACACACACACACACACACAAAACCAAACAAATAAATATGCATATATTTATTGATTGATATATATACTTATCAAAAATATATTTATATACATATATATATCCAACAATTCTAATACGATTAGGAAAGGTGACATTATTACATAGGAAGGTAATACTTAAAATATTACTAGAGGTCGATTGATTTAATCAGTGGATTAATTGATCAATTACTTGCTGCCTTTTTCTCAAGAAATGCATGTGAATATCTTCCATGTGCCAGGGAGTGAAGAATTGGGCAGAACAGCAGGGGGACAGCTAGTGGCAGAGCCTGGAGGTGAGCAAGCACGTGACCCCAACTTGAGGAACCTGAAGAAATCTGGTGCGTTAGAGAAAGATGGGGAAAGCTGTAGGAAGCCGAGGCTGGCTGGGTCAGTAGGTAGGGAACAGGGCTTTGAAAATCACGTTAAAGAATTTGGATCAAGAGGTGCAAACTATTAGGTATAAAATAAACTACAAGGACATATTGTACAACATGGGGAATATAGCCAATATTTTATAATAAGTATAAATGGAGTACAATCTTTACAAATTGTAAATCACTATACTGTATACCTGTAATTTATATAATATTATACATCAACTACACTTCAATTAAAAAAAAGTATTTGGATTTAATTCTGAGAGGCATGGAGCATCACGGTACGATTAACCCATAATCCACTCTCCGTGGAAGGAGATAAGAACTCAGGCAGGTACTTGCCAGGAGTGGGATATAATTTGAGGCAGAGACACCAGAAGAGGGAAGGGAAAAAGAAAGAAAATGGGGAGCGTAGAGTGACCATCTCAGGCTTGGTAAGCACAACAATACAGTGTATAAGGTCAATAAAAAAAGGATGGATATGTAGGAGAGACCTTTGTAGTTTTGCCTTGAACATGCCCTAAACTCAATCCAGGGAGGTGCCTGCTGTGGCTCGTAGGATGGCCTGCACTTGGGTCTATCCTGTGGCCTTGGAGGGAATGAGGACCGGCCAGCGGTCTCTGCCTGACTGTTGCATGTGCTGACCTCCCTATGGAAAAATGTCAAGCTCTAAGCGCCAGCATTCAAGATGGGGCTTTTTCACATTTCTAAGAAAGGAAAAATGTAAGAAAATACTTAAGTATGATTTAACGACAGCCTTAACGTTTTTACTAGTAAATACTCTAGTATGATTTGAATATTTCCACAGAATCCAAAAGGAGTAAATAATCTCGAGTCGTGCTTTAATTATGTGTCAGCTTCCTGTGTCAGATATAATGAAGATGTGTCACATCTGGGATTCATCTAGCTCCCGTGACCTCAGTCAATGTCTCCCTTCAGGGTAAGTAATTTGTCACATACCATTAAGCCAAACGTTTTCCGAGATGTCTCTGCTATTTCAAGTGTTTGTACCACTTCCCCAGAGAAATCATGAATTCCAGCCCACTTCCACTTCAATTGGAATAATTCAAGAAAGATGAATAGTTAATCACATCTTTAAATTTTGTAGCAGGTCTGGCTTTCAAAATTGGAATTTTTTCTGTGTCTGACTTTTTTGGAGGTACTTGGGTACGTGTTAAAATTGTTGACCGTTTTTCTGTTCATCCTTATACTGAATAGGCAAAACTCATTAGCTTGTATAAGATAAATTCCTATTTGTAATAAAATTATCATTATATCTATAGATTCAAATAATTTTACATACAGTATTTTGTCTAACACAATTGAGAAGCAATAAAAATTTTTGCAAACGAGATAAAGTTATGAATGTGAACATTATCTCCGCCTTTTGAGAAGAATTTGATTTAAAAACGATGTCATCAGCTGAAGGGTCACTCGGTTTATAAATTATATGTCAGTGTTATTCTATACTTCTTAGTTCCCCCTTTCTGTTACCTTTATATCATTAAGTGGACGATTTTAACTTTTTCATACAAGTTTAAATAACCGCTACGACTTACTGAATTATTGATAATAGCACTCCAACCTAAACTTTTTGGCTTATAGATGTCTTTAGCAGAAAAGAGTTGCCAAGTTATAACTTTCAAAGCATTCTCTTCTGATCTAAAAAGAAAACCTCACTGAAATATTCATTCTGAATTTACAACATTTATATTACGTTATATATAAACACACACATATACATCGTATGTTTTATATAACAGATACTTAGGTGCACTCACAGGTCTATACCTAATTATAACGCACACTTGTTGTCAGAGAAAGCTGTGAATTATTATTAAATTAGAATTAAAATTTCAAACTAGCATTTATGATCATAGTCAATATGAATAGGTCTGACTGGAGCAAAAAAACTCCATTAAACCAGGCCAGATCCCTCATCACATAATTTCTAAATGAAACTGTTGGGCTATACTTCTGGTGCTTCAGAAGGCAGGACAGTACCTTACAAATCCTCTAATACTAGTCCTAACCCAATGCAGGAAGGGTTAGAATAATGACCTGGTGATGTAATGGTGCTCGTAGCCACATATGGGAGAAGAGGAATGAGATAAATGTGAAACAGGACTTAAAAGTACAAAGCAATTAATTCACTTTTCAATCTAACCAATTCAATGCTCTTTCAGTGATGGCAAATATCAGGTTTTACATAAAGTTAGGCATATCTGAAAAGTTTTTCCAAATTTGAAAAGGGGATAGTTATTAACTTTAATATTTATAAAATATTTTTTTTTTACCAAATAGTTTTTTTTTTTGTTTTTTTTTTTTTATGTATTCTGGGCCTACATTTTTGTTGGCCTCTCCCGTTGCGGAGCACAGGCTCCGGACGCGCAGGCCCAGCGGCCATGGCTCACGGGCCCAGCCGCTCCGCGGCATGTGGGATCTTCCCGGACCGGGGCACGAACCCGTGTCCCCTGCATCGGCAGGCGGACTCCCAACCACTGTGCCACCAGGGAAGCCCTACCAAATAGTTTTAATCTTTCTCATTAGATAACAATTATGTGAATATTTATGGGTTGGCTTTTTTTTTTTTTTTCCTCTAGTTTAGAAATGCAAGTAGCAGAAACTTTATAAAATTACACAGCTGGGCTTCCCTGGTGGCACAGTGGTTGAGAGTCCGCCTGCCGATGCAGGGGACACGGGTTCGTGCCCCAGTCTGGGAAGATCCCACATGCCGCGGAGCGGCTGGGCCCGTGAGCCATGGCCGCTGGGCCTGCGCGTCCGGAGCCTGGACTCCTCAACGGGAGAGGCCACAACAGTGAGAGGCCCGCGTACCGCAAAAAAAAAAAAAAAAAATTGCACAGCTGTTTGAAAGGCAGAGAAATTCACATTGAGGGAAATGGAGAACTATTTCCCAGTTAGAGGTTTACTTAATAGTTTTCAGATGTACAATACAAGATTATATCAAATACAGACAAAAATTACAGAAAAGAAAATCAACAAATGCTTTTCAATCATTTTTTAAAAAATGAGCTAAATTCCTATAATACATTTTAAAAAGTATCCGAGAAACACATTCGAGACTGAACCCGCTGCTAATTTTCCATCTTCTAATACTCTGAGTTACCCATTCAAAATTTTTGTATGTGAAAATAAAACATCTTTCAGGAAATGGATGCAATAGAATCAAATAAATAATTGTAACTTGCCCACGTAACAAATCTGATTTAATGCAACAAGAATTCGTGAAAACAAGGCAATTTTCTTGTTAAAAAGTAATATTCATGTCAATCCCAAACTCCCAATCTGCTATATTTAAAATAAAATGCCTTTCCATGAAAAAAACAATTAAAAAATAAAAAATTTTTTAAAAAGAAAAAGGAATATTCTTTCCATAAAACCAAACAGATCCCACAATCTGTTAAAAAAAACACTTCAATTTTTTAAAACATTCAAAAACTGAAAAATCCTGAGAAAAGATGATCTCGTTCGTAACAACATTTCACACCAGAGTGTGCCACACATATATGCTTTAAAGAATTCAGTCTAGAAGTCCATTCAGTGATGAATGTGCGAACAGAGGACTGTTGGGCGAAATACCAAAGTTTTAATACTTGTGCCCAAGTAGCACTCATTGTTCATTTCATGTTCATTTCATCCAGGGCTAGGAGAGATGCTAGCTAGCTCTTTCACATATTTTCTCAGATCAGGTTTTCATTATAATATTTTATGGTTTCATACCATTTTAAAATGTGCTCAGGGCATTTCCCAGTTACTTTCAGAAGCTGCTTAAGGGGAAGACAGGCCTCCCTGAACCGACAGGTCCCAGCAAAGGAGGTTTTTCAAAGAATTCTTCAGGGTCCTCTACACCCCCATCCACCACCCTCAAAGGCTTTGACTCCAGTCTGAACCCCTGTCCAAGGCCATGAGCAACGAGCTGAAACTGGCTTCTATGGGTCTATAGACTGGTGCGTTCTGCATTCTGACTTTCTCAGGAACCGACCATATCATCTGAAAATGGAGGTGAATCTCAAATGCTCCAAATGTTTGTTGATTTTTCAGAGAATATACCCTAAGGCATTACCCAATGTGACAGACTTCTGACCCTGGAGGACCTACATATTGAGAAGCAAAGTGGCATTTCCTTGAGCTGTGCTACAGCCAAGTTCCATTTCTTACTGCCTTCGGGTGACCGGCCAGATTCACGAGGAACACTCTCAGAAGGTGTGTGAGCCTGTCCGCCTACAGGCCAGGCAGAGGACTATTCCTGATGATGAGATCATGGCCACAGAAATATAGTTGAGGACACAAAAATCTCTATTTTTATAATGTTTACCTTCTGTCTCATTGTATACAGATGTGAGGTTATAAAACTGACATCTATTTTCAGCATAGGAAACCAAGTAATTTAACTCAAGCCTATTTAAGAAAAAAAAAAAAAAGGACAATACATATGTCTGAAAAGTGGTTTCCATATGCATATGCAAATACAAGCATCAAGGTATTTTATTATATTTTCAGTTTGGTTAATGTGTATTTTAGTACGCCAAGATTCTAAAAGAGATCTCCAAGATTTGCTTTGTTGGGAATTTTCTCAAGTGTTTTTGTTTCTCATCACACGTGGAGCCTGTAGATTGGAGAAATGGCCTTCCCATAACAGCAAAAGTTCAGCATCGTGTCAGAGATCCTTTTATTTTTCTTTTGAAAGACTAACAACTGGCTACTCAGATGTGGTGCACAGACCCACAGCATTAGCACCCCCTTGGAGCCTCTTCAGAAATGTAAAGTCTCAGCCCCCATCCCAGGCCTGCGGCCCCCAGAGCTGCATGTTCACCAGATCTCCAGGTGATCTGAGTCTGCCTAAGCGGGCCGGCAGCACCGCACTGACTCACCAGGCCACAGATGCCATCGATTCTGGAATCTGGCAGGTTTTATTATCCAGATTGATGATCACCGGGTGCAGGAGAAGCTGGGCTCCCACCGTCACAACTGGCCTCGCTCTGCAGGGAGAAGACACACGGTTTTAACCAGCCCCAGGAGGGGCAGGCAGAAGCCCACTGCTCCACCTCTAGAGGCCACGGCCAACATTTCCGGCCCCGGTGCCAAGAACTCCCCTCACTGAGTGAACAGGTGGGCTCTAGACTCAACCAACGACCTACAGACACATCCGGTAGCTCACGAATACAAATAAAGGAGCCATGGGCCCATGAAGCACAGCCACGCTCACGGACCTTCTCTGTCTGTGGAGGGGCTAACGGTATTTTGGCGACATGGCTGTGAAAGATTTCTCTTCTGGGACCTGCTGGTCTGTCCATATTCGCATCTGAATATGAGGAAGTACATCATCCTACAGTCACTCACGTTGCATCTGTAAGTGCTCGAGTTTTGCTAGTTTTGTCGCCATGTTGGCTGGTGATTTTGAACCGCTGATCGATCATTTTGTAGACAAGCTTTGCAGATTGAGCTAAACCCATGAGGGTGAGCTGACTCATGCTGCGCTTCACGTGGAGCAATGGTTCTCAACCCTGACTGCACAACAGAAGCACCCCGGGAGCTGAAAAACAGAAGCCAGCCTCCCGGGGTCAAGGCCAGGCACTGGAATGTCAAAAACAAAAACCTCCAGGTGCTTCTATGGTGCGGCCGAGTTTGAGGAGAGGGTCTAATGCCGAGTAAACTCCATTCCAACCACCCAGGGAGGATAAATCAGACAAGAAAGTAAGTCACTGGGAAAAGGAATGGGGCAATATTTATAAAGCTTGGTGCCAAGATATGAGAAATGGGAGTGAAATCTCCAGATGACAGTGTGAAACGACGTGTTGCTTGTTTTCCTCCGACAGGAGGGAGGGCGGGGCCTTGGGGCAGCGTGTTGTTTAGGGCACTGGTTTAAACAATTCCGTGATTACCGTAATGGCGCCCGATGGGAATTTTCCTGAACTCCTTTGCGCTATTATCTGTACTCTGTTACGTGACTTTTCTTTTCAATATTGTGTTAGCTCCAGCCCTTGGAAGAGCAGATGGTAAGACAGGATTAGACACACAAGACACTTATTAGGGCAAATACTGATGAGGGAAAAAGGGGAGGGAGGGAGGGAGGAGGCTGGGACCAGCAGTCAGAGTGTGACGTACATCTGATTCCTGTGAAGAAGTAAGGAAACGAAAGAGGATCTGGGAAAGAAGCGCCAGCCAGGGCACTGCGGAGCCCTTGAGCCAAATCTGCCTGCTAGTGGAGCTCCAGGTGGGCCTGTATTTGTATCCCTGTTGTGTCCAGTAATCGGCTGGGAGCAGCTCATGGGAAATAGGGCCTTGTTGCACATGTAGACCCAGAGCACAGTGGAGGGACCATGAGTCAGTTTCACTCCATCAGCTCTGAGTGGTGCATATTCATGGCCACCACAAACACAGCCCCATCATTCAGGTACTTTGAGAGTTTCAATCACCTGATTCTCTACCCCCTGAAGTGGAGAGTGGCTAGTATAAATCAGCCCTCTGAGTATGTCTTGGGACTGATGAAGAAGACAATCTTGCCTACTTGAGGAAACCGACTTTAGAATCCCTCAGGGAGTTGACCTAGGTTCGAACTACGTGCCCAGAACACCTGGATTGGACCTCTGCCTTTTGTCTTGATATCCTGACCTAGTGTCTTGCATTCCTATAAAACATTTTTTAATAATAAAAAAGAATCTAAATTTTTTTTAAGAAGAAAGAAGAATCTAGTAAGTAACTGGTAGCACTGTCTACCAGTTACTTATTATTCCATGTACCTTACATGCAGATTCTCACTTAATCCTTTCAACAAAAATAAACTTGTAAATATTATGCCCATTTTACAATGAAAAAAATCTGAGGCTCAGAAAGTTATAGAAACTTGCCCAAGATTACAAATGGGTGAGTGTGTGGAGTGGCCAGGTTTTTTAAATCCAGACCTGTCACATTTGAACAGTTGTTCAATTCTTGCTTTGGGAGGCTACCAATTCTTGGTATTTCTGTTCCTTAATGTAGTGTCCACACTTGATGATAGAGGCCAGGGTGCATGGCAACACTCCCCCACCCTGCATTCCTTATCTATAGGCGCATTTTAATGCATTTCCAAAGCAAAGAGAAGTATTCAAATGTAATAACTTTAAAAAGTGTGTCATTTTAGAAGTTCTGCTAAGATTCACATCTTATTTAATGTTATGTTAGTAGAAGCTGGAAGTTTGGTCATGAGGTATGAGAAAAAAAAGACAGAAGGGCTGAAAGAAAGGGGAAAATATTGAGAGCAAATATTCCTCCAAACTTTACAGAGAGCATCTAAATGCTCTCCAAAATAGATAGTTTGGATTTACTCTTTAAGGCAAAACTAACAACGAAAAAGAAATGCATTTGAGACAATTAGAACATGTCCACGGATGGAGGAATAAAGAAAGTGTGGCTTTCAGCCATAAAAAGGAAATCTTGCCATTTATGACAACACAGAAGTACCTTGAGAGCATTATGCTAAGTGAAAAAAGTCAGACAGAAAAAGATCAATACCATATGATCTCACCTACGTGTAGAATCTAGAAACAAAAATCAAAACCAACAAATGAACATATAGATACAGAAAACAGATTGGTGGTTGCCAGAGGTGGGGATGAGATGGAGGTGGAAATGGATGAAAGTGGCCAAAAGTATAGACTTCTGTTTATAAGATACATAAGTTTGGGGGATGAAATATATAGCATGGTGCCTAGAGTTAATAATACTGTGTTGTATATTTGAAAGTTGCTAAGAGGGTAGATCTTAAAAGTGCTCATCACACACACAAAAACTGTAACTATGTGTGGTGATGGATGTTATCAACTAGACATTGTGGTGATGATTTTGCAATATATACAAATATTGAATCATTATGTTGTATGCCTGAAACTAATATAATGCTACATGTCAATAAAAGAAAAGAGCATTTGCATACCACCAACCACATACCTGTAAACAGCTACTTTTCCTGTTCCAAATGCACCCACAATTAAATCTAAAAAAGACAAAAACACAACACGTGTACAAATTTTATAGAAACGATCCAAACTCATAATTATAAATAGCACATAAAGCATCCTGAAATGCTGATTGCAGAGTGAGAGTCATAAAAGTAAGAACAGCAAATCACACCGTTCTTAAGACACTTTGGAAAGGATACTGGAACTTCACTCTAGCTCCATAAGACACATACATCAATAGATCTCAAACCCTTCTGGACTCAGGAAGGCCAGCCTTCTAGAAATGCTTCAGATGCTCATCGTAACACCATTTCTCCTATCCTCCAGACTCAAGGCACACATCTTAAATCAAAAGGGGAAAAGCAGGGGCTAAGGGCCTACTAAGTGCCAGGCTTGTAGCACATAGTATTTTATCATCCCGCTACCGGAGCAACCCTGTAAGGAAAGTATTTTACCAACGAAGTGAGACATTTTGGCTGTCATCTCGTCACAGCCATTTGCTCTTGACAAATATGCGGATGGCACAGTGATCAGTAGCATATGAAATAACTGACATAGCATTACAGCCGTCTCTCCTCATTTGCGGTTTTGCTTCTTCAGTTTCAGTTACCTGTGGTCAACCACGGTCTGAAAATATTAAGTGGAAAATTCCAGAAATCAACAACTCATCCGTTTTAAATTGCACGCCGTTCTGAGCAACGTGATGAAATCTCACGCCGTCCTGCTCTGTCCCGCCCGGGATGTGAATGATCCCTTGGTCCAGCGTGTCCTGCCCGTAGTCACTTAGCCAACTTGGTGTCTCAGTGCTTGTTCAAGTGACCCTTACTTTACTTAATAATGGCTCCAAAGTGCAAGAGGAGTGAGACTAGGTACTTCCCTGGCGGTCCAGTGGCTAAGACTCCATGCTTCCACTGCAGGGGGCAGGGGTTCGAACCCTGGTCGGGGAACTAAGATCCCGCACGCCGCGTGGCACGGCCAAAAAAAATTAAAATTAAAAAAATTTTTTTAAAAGGAGTGATGCTGGCAATTAAGATGTGCCAAAGAGAAGCCGTAAAGTGCTACCTTTAAGTAAAAAGGTGAACGTTCTCCACTTAATAAGGAAAGAAACAAAATCCTATGCCAAGGTTGCTAAGATCTGTGGTAAGAAGAAATCTTCTCTCTGTGAAATTGTGAAGAAGGAAAAAGAAAGCCGTGCTAGTTTTGCTGTCGCATCTCAAACTGCAAAAGTTAAAGCCACGGTGGGTGAGAAGTGCTTAGTTAAGACGGAAAAGGCATTAAATTTGTAACAATAAGATATTTTGACAGAGAGAAACCACATTCACATAACTTTTATTATAGTATATGGTTATAATTGTTCTATTTTATTATTAGTTATTGTTGTTAATCTCTGACTGTGCCTAATTTATAAATCCAGCTTTATGTATAGGGAAAAACGTAGTATGTGTAGGGTTCAGTACTCTCCGCGGTTTCAGGCATCCACTGGAGGGTCGTGGAATGTATGCCCCCCTGGATAAGCAGGGAAACCACTATACAAAAATATTAAATAACAACAGCAATGATAGTACTAAATAGCACATATTGAACACTTATTCTAGGCCAGGAATTCTTTTAATGGATTTACTTTAACTTATTCTTAACAAGTTAAGAAGTCTCTATCATATTATTAGCACAATTTTACAGAAGAGTAATTTGAGACTTAGGGAGGCTCACCGATACATTCATTGAAGTTCACACAAGTACATAAGAGGTGAAGCTGGGTTACAGTGGTGCTGGGCAACAGAGCAATCTTAGACTATTTGAGGGGTAATGTTCACAATGACCTCAGTGACCGGCTGATATATAGGCAGAACTCTCTGTTTCTCTTAATCTCATCTATAATGGTTATTCTTTCTCAGTGGATGCAATCAAACAAAAATTTAAACGACCATGGTGATATCTGCAGAGTAACATTTAGAAGCAGAGATGGGAAAACTGGATTCGGAAGAAATAACGGCCACAGAAGAAAACTTACAATAGCTGAAACTCTAATCGGTTAATTCTAGTAGGACAGAAGTGAAAATGAAAAAAAAAAGAAAAAGAGAGGAGGGAACTCCTTTGTCAGTGCCATATGGAAAACCGATCAAGAAGTTAAACTGGTTCAATGGAATTCGTACAGGAAAATGATTTGTAGCCACATGCCCTTGGCATTCACCTTTCCAGAACAAAGGAACTGGCCAGGCTGCAAGCAATATGATTCTTCTCTAGGGGCCTCTCTTGGCTGGGCCAAGGGCATTGTCCTCGGTCCATGATGCATGGGAGTTGGATGGATAAGCAGGTACATGAGCGCACATGGCTGCTTTCTTAGGGTGACTCTGAGACATGTACTTCCCTGTCTCCCAGATTTCCCCAGCTAGACAGAGCCCGAGTTGCCCACCCTGTCAGCCTCTTGATGATAATCTTCCCTTCCCACATCTCTCTTCCCTACTCCCATAGCAATGATTTTCTGGGGATATTTCTCAAACCACTTGCCTTCTTTTTTTTTTTTTTTTTTTGAACTTTATTTAATTTATTTTTTTATACAGCAGGTTCTCATTAAATATCTATTTTATACATATTAGTGTATACATGTCAATCCCAATCTCCCAATTCATCACACCACCGCCACCTCCCCCCACCACTTTCCCCCCTTGGTGTCTGTATGTTTGTTCTCTACGTCTGTGTCTCACTCTCTGCCCTGCAAACCGGTTCATCTGTACCATTTTTCTAGATTCCACATAT